TGGATTCCGCAGAGGAACCAGAGCTCGCCATGAAGCAGGTATGCGTCCGAAGATGTTAACAGCAAGGACTAGCAACCAGAAATAGAATGAGAAAAGTAAATGATCATCACGTGAAAATGCATGTCACAAATGCTAAAGCCCAAAGAGAAAATGGGAAAAAATGGAGAATCGATCGTGAAAATGGAAAAGAGTGTCAAGGCAATAACACCAAGAAAAGGTCTTCTCTTCTTTTTCTTCCCGGCATCTGGCACAGTACAAGGTGAGACACCGAAGTTAGGATCGGGTCGAGCGTGGACGAGAGCGAGATCTCGAGCGTATATGAAGACGAGGTCGAGGTGTATGGCGAGGGGGTGGAGAGTCCAAAGAGGGAGGCATCCGGTCAGTCGATGACGTCGTAGTAGAATGAGGAGGAGGAGGCAATGTAGAGAGGGCGCCGAAGTCAGTGCGACCTTCAAGTTCATCTTCAAGTTGTTCCGGGCTCTGTTGAAGAATATGAAGAAGGCCCAAGGCGGTGAGGAGCTCGTGGGTGTAGTGTACGGCGGTGTGGTTGAGGCGAAGGGCTAAGAGGAGCGTATTGTCCAAACCTTCAAGGTGAGCTCGAAGTTGTGGGTGTGTCACCCGATACATAAATGGAAGGGTACGAATGCAAAGTGGGACCTGCAATGGTGAATGGATCTGGGCCAGAAGAACATGTACAAGTAGAAGTTCGCGATGTAGCATTGCTTGAGCGCGAGGTGGAAGGCCTGGAATCGGAGCTAGACCACAGGGTGGTGTAGGTGTCGAAGCCATGGCAGAAAAAGCGGCGAAGAAGCGGCGAAAAACGAGAGAGCGAGACGAGTGGTCACTGGTGAGCCCCAATAGAAAAACGGGAAATTGGAAACTGGGAGGTTCAATATCGAAGAGAAAAAGGTGGAGAAGACAAAAGGTGAACAAGCTGGCATCTGAATAAAAGGTGTGTTTTTCTGTACTGCCAAAGCTCCAAGTAGTCTGGCAAGTGAGAAAGTCTGCTAAAATCGGAATCGTCTCGGAGGGGGTCGTGACCGAGAAGGTGACCGAGAACGTGCCGTGCGGGTCGAGTTCAAGCCAGGAACCGAAGCAGGAGTGGAGGTATGAAGGATGAGAGGAGGAGCAGGGTCAGTGGTAGTCGTCGTCGTAGTCGTCGAGGGTGGGGAAGGAGGAGAGATGAGAACATGTAGGCGAGGAGCTGCCATAGATGAAGAAAGGGAGTTGGGAGAGGGAACCATGCGGGCAGTAGTATGTGGAAGTGCCAAAGCGGAGCAAAGTTCATCAGTGTAGACCAATGTAGCGCAGGTAGAGCGTCGAATCTGTTCAATGCTGGTCTCAAGGGCACGGAGAGTAGTACGGAGGCGAGGACAGGTAATCGTGTCCGCAAGGGAAGGAGTGACAGTAGCCCAAGGTCCGCGGAGGATCAAGAGGATCAAGTGTAGTGAAGAGTGTATATGGAGAAGTTCGCGATGAAGTACCTCATGAGCGGCAGAAGGTAGGCCGGCAATTGGCGCCAATCCCGTCGGGCGAGTCGAGGTCGTCGTAGACGATGTAGACATGGCTGCGAGAGGGAACGAAAGATGTGGGCTCGAAGGGAGGAGGTGTAGAACGTGGGAAAGCTGAGAGCCAAAATAATCAAGAATGTAGAATTGACAGAATGTAAAGTTGAAAGAAAGTGTCAAAATTCAAAGGAACCGGTGGGCAGCCTGAAAGGGAATTGAGTGGATATTTTCCTCTCGTGATGGGAACAGTGAGTAAAGAGCCGTCTAGAGATTCCTAGGGTTCATACGAGGGTGAGACCGAGAGCGAGAACGAGTAGTACTGGGTCGTGACTCGGCGGTGGAGAGAGTCCGGTTCGAGGTAGTAACCAATGGTCTATGTGGAGAACGATTTGCAGGAGGCCTCGATGGTGGAAACGATGGTGTAGCCGGAGTAGAACTGGTAGATGTCGTACGTCGAGTCGTAGGTGAGTCCACAGGGATAGGATGAAAAGAGGGAAGGCGAGGGTCAGGGAAAGTCGTGCGTCCACGTAGTTCAGCATCCAGTTGTGAGCAGTGTCGCAGTTCAAGGTGTGTATCATACCAAATGTGGTGAGGAGTTCCTGAATGTAGTGCACACCGGTCTGGATGGCCTGAGTCGCCTGTCGAATCGCCGAGTCAAGTCCTCGAATTTGCACCTGAAGATGTGGTGAGGTAACGAAGTCCAGGCAAGAGGGTGAAAGGATAGCAAATCGGGTACGAAGAAGTGAAATTGCAAGGATCAGCAAACCCTGTAGGTGAAGAATTTCTCGATGTAAGATAGTCTGGGCCCTCATCGCGATGCCGTCCACAGGGTTGAGACCGGCCGGAGAGGGAAACATGGCGAGAAGAAGGAGCGGAGCAACTGGGAAACTAAGGTTCCAACTGGTTCCAATGAACCGTAAACTTGCTTGGACCGCTATGGTCACCTTGTGCCTTGCCGAAATGGCTGGCTGTTTCGACCGCTGCGGTCACGTAAAGGCATGAGCCAACTTGGAATTCCAAAGATGAGACAAAAATCATCGTACGTACGGCCTAGGCCACCTTCGCCCGCTCTGGGCGTCTACATCTCCGGGCAGGGGAGATAACGACGTACACCCGTTCGACGGGTCCACGGGAGGCACTCTGCGGGCTCATCCCGGGTTGGCACAAGGCCAAACACACTTAGGATATTGTGTACTGAACTGAATGCGGTGCCACACGCCGGCCTAGGGTTCCATTGGTAAGACTACCAGTGGGGAGCCGATGAATCCTGGTGGTCTTAAAAGGAAAGGAGGCCCAAAGCACAAGGTCGAGGTCGGCGAGCAGGTCGAAGTGACGACGTTCCGTGCATGTCTGCGGAGTGTCAAGCTCAACTCAGGAAAAAATTAAAATTCCAGCAGACACAATGCGACGTCCCGCATTGCTTCACCACGAACTGACAGTGTCTTCGTTGGGCAATGTCTGTCAGTCGTGCATTGCCCCCCTGCTTTGACTTGAAGTTAAAAGCAAAAGGCAAACCGAACTAATCCAAGAGGATCCCTATGATTCCAAAGGTTACACACACACAAAAGAGAGAAGTCAAATGGTTTTTGAAAACTTTGCAAATTAAAACCTACTCCCCAAGAACGATAAGTCAGTTTGCATTTGTAGAGGCTACAACACGGTGCATGCTTAGCGTTTGTAGCTGTTTGTTTTCAGCTGTGATTGCGTCTCCATTGTCCCTGGACCCGCTTCCCTCCCCATACCTCTATTCACTGAGCTGCGACATACCACTTTCAATCCACGAGCCTTTCATTCCACAAGACTCAAAGTGAAAGAGCAGGGCCACCTGACCAGGCCCGCTCATGAACTGGCAGGGCACTGTCGAGTGTGCTCGCCGCAGAGTCTTCAGGTTCAACTGGTGGACACTCATCCATAGGCACTGAAGCAATGCCTTTTGCATTGGTGATGCAGTGGTTGACATGGTGGCTTGGCAGAATGCCTATGATGGGAACCGGAGGATTCCTCGAGTGGGTTGCGCTGCAGCTGCGCACCTTCGTCCGCAGAATGGGCTGCCCTCCCTACCGCGTTAGGCGAATAGAGGAAGTGATTTTCACATTGCAAATAGAGCTCATGGCACCCCGCATTGAGTCTGTGGCTGTGGGAGAAGAACAAACTAGCGTTCAATTTCAATAGGTGCATCGTATCGATGCTGAGTCCAAGCTTTGCTGTGCAGGTGAAAAACAATATTCGAGCTGCTCTCCTACGCCTCCATTTTTAGACACCCTCCAAAAAGGTACCTTTTCAGGGGGGTTCGCAATCACACTGGCCTTCACAGGGAGCGCTTTGTCAGTCCATGTTTTCACAGCATGAAGTCTGAAGGATTGCGCAAAGAAGCACACATGATGAAATGTTGTGAGTTGTGACTGTTGTGCAGTGCACATGCCATTCATTCGCTTCCATGTTGAACTTTCGAACTCCTTGCAAGCCTTATCTCAAAGCCCTGTGACACTCCTTCGAAGCCTTCTCTCAAAGCACCGTTTTGCTCATGGAGCCTATGTGTGAAGTTTGGAGAAGCAGCGAATGAAGGTTCCGTGGGCATGCAAAGTGTGGGATTCTATGGAGAACACTCCGGAATCATTTTGGCAGGGGCTCGAGGACTTCAGGAAACTGGGGGCGAAGGGGAGTGAGTTGCTTTGGAAGGCATACCTCGCCGTTCACGCACGCATGCTGTTCCTGTTTGGAAGCGCCAAGAGGGTGGGCCGGGCAAAGGCAAGGGGGTGAAGAACCAGATAATGAAGAAGCCGCGCAAAAGGCCGGCTGCAATGGGGGTTGGCAAAGGCCATAAATGAACATCTGATTGAAGGCATGTATGTGGTTCACTGAAAATAAGGCCCAAACATTTCACATTGTAATGTGTTTGTCTCATGGTTGTCCATTCACTAGACAGGCGAGTTGTTGTCGACACATCCAGCCTCAGTCCATGATCATCGAAATGATCCGTTTTGCCGACTGGATTTAGGTTTTTAAGAGCCTTCAGCGCTTGGAAAAAAGGCAAACACTGGACACGCAGCGAGCCATCTTGTTACAAGGCCCTGCTTGGACAAGCGAGCCTGGCCCTGCTTGCGGTCCAAGATCAAATGCTTTCTTCAGGTACATTTCCGACAGTTTGTCTGGGTAGATCTTTGTGAAGTCATTGATACTTGTGCGAGTGGCGTCGCAGCAGTTGGAAACACTTTGGTTTCTGTGTTCTAGCAGGGCTCACACTGCTCGCTGTTCATGAGTGCAGGGCTCTCTCTTTGTGTGGGCTCGCCTCGTAGCTGCTCTGCCAGCGCTGTGGCTCTTAGCTCTTGAAGATCGTGAGCCATTTTTTCATATTTTCTCTGCGATGGCAGAGATTGAAGATGCGCTCAAGGCACTCAAGGAGACGCGCACCTTCTGAGAAGCGCAGCAGTCCCTCCTTCCTGCCGAGCAGATGGGCTGTTGTCAGACAGCAATGCCAAACTGCAGGTCGACATGGGGCGGGCTACGGATGTCATTCAGAAAGTCCAAGCCGGACCATGGTCTGCTGAAAACAAAGTTGCGCTCACGCAGAGCGTCAACGAGGCTTTTCTGAAGGGCGGAAGCAAGAAGACGTCATGCCGTGAGAAGCAAACCTGCTTCAATTTTGGGGCATACTTGACGAAGAAGGATCTCGAGCAGCTGAGGGGACAGAGTGCTGCAGCCATGAAGTTGGACATCGTGACCAATCGGATGGTTCGCATTGGGCTTCACTTGCCAACAGAGCAGACCAGCGGCCACATCCTGCAGACTGCAGCGGCATGTGGCCTCCAGTTGCAGGTGGGCAAGCAGTCTGTTGAGATGCTGGGCTCCATGAAGAAGATGTTGAAGTCCAAGGTCAAGAAGCTGAAGGCTCAAGATGGCGCTGGTCAACTCCAGAAGATTGAGCATGTGGTGAAATATCCGAGCGAGCCTTCGGCTTCAATGATCGAGAGCCTGTACGACCAGGACGACAAGCCAGAAAAGTTGGATGGCCAGGTGTGTCAGAGCCTGGAGGCCTTGCCGCTAAAAAAGAGCTCGAAGCTGTATGACCGTGGAAGTGGCAGGGAACCCCTCAGAATCAGAGTGATTTGCAGCTGGCGAAGGTGCAGAAGCAACGTGCGCCGGCTCACAGCCAATGGGGAACATGCAACCACAGATGATGGAGATGTTCCAGATGTTCCAAACGTTCCAGCAGATGCAGCACATGGTGAACCAGGCGGGCGGCAGTGGCAGCAGTGGCAGTCAGCAGAAGACTGAAGAGGGATTGGCAGGTCTTCAGATCTTTAGTGACGGAAAAGGGAAGAAGCGTGAATTTGCCACTCCTCCCAGTGCTGCAAAGATTGGAGATTCACCACCTTCAAACGATCCCAAACGCAGTGACAGTCAAGAGGAGTCGAGAGAGAAGGCACCAGCAGTTCTCTCACTTCCACACTTGCCTCCTCCGCTTCCAGTGGAAGAGCAGGCAGCTTTGGTGGCTTCAGCGACCAGGGAACGTCTTAAGGCAAAAGCTGCAGCTGAGGCTGCAGCTGGCACGCAGGAAGCTAAGCCGAGGGCAAAAGCAAAAGGCAAAGCAGGTGCCAAAGCCAAGAGCAAAGCCAAGAGCAAAGCCAAAGCTACAAGCAAAAAGAATGCCACGCGTGATCATGCAGAAGCACCGGTGGCTGAGGCCGAAGATGGCGAGGACAAGAAACCTTCCGCCAAGAAGGCGACAAAGATGGAGGACCGGAAGATTTGGGGCAAGGGTGAGAACCCGCCCGTGATGGAGAAAGGTGCCAAGACCACATACTACCGAGGTGGCAAGGTGCACCGGAATTCTGACGCCTTTCGGGTCTTCAAACAGGCGCAAGACCGCTGCGACAGAAAAATCAAGATAGATCCAAATGATATCGAGGGCTGCTGGAAGAAGGCCTTGTCCGTCATCGACGCATTTGAAGATGCTGAAGACGTGAACTAGTGCACACAGCGCAGTCCATGATGCTTTTACTTTGAGGATCTGGGCTATATGGAGTCAGCCCTGCAAAGAGCGAAGAAAATTCCAAGTCTTTGCGTGATGGATGGATGCCCACACACTCTGTAAACAAGTTTGACGTATGTTTGTAATGTTTTTGTAGTTGCTGTATTTCTTGAGACGACTGTGACTGCAACGATGTGCAGTAACTTCGGATTTGGTGAAAACGATTGCAGTTTGCAAATTGCCCTGCACCAGGCGCATGGCTCCCACCACTCCATGGAGGTGAATATGTCACGCTTGTGTTACGCCATGTGGTATCACAAGACTTGAACTTCCCAAGCTCTCTAAAGAAGTTTTGATAAGAGATTGGAACTCACCTGCGACAGTGGTTTCGATAGAGTTGACGTTCCTTTGCAGTGCGCTTTTGTCACACACACACAGAGTTGATGTAAGAGCATATGTGTACTACCGCTTTGCATTGGCAAGTTGATTGCACGCCTGCAGCGTGAAGGCTTGCGATGTCAGGGCAGTGTTTTCAACGTGATGGCTTGTGATGCCATGTCAGCGTTTTGGGGCTTTCCCAAAAATTGTGCTCAGTCACACGTTGCAACTTTGTAGCTTTTAACCTCAAAGCTTGACAAAACGGAGCAAATGATTACATTCGTTGCGATTTGATTTTGTTTTTGTGGTGTCCGTAAGTCGTTACCCACGGACTCTGTGGCGTGCATGCAATGGTAGCAGGGCCCCAGTTAAGCTGACGACTCGCATCCTGTGTGATCTTGCAGGGCATTTTGCCCGTAAGACAATATCTGAGAATAGACGTTACCATCAAGGATTGTTAGATTGCATGGATGGCAAAAAGTTCATCGTCTTCGAATAGAGTCTACATTGAGGCCCACAGGACTTCATATGTATCCCAAAGCGGTGTCGTTGCTGTGCTTAAGGCTGTGAGAGAGCACGGCCTGCCTGAGGCAATATCCAGGCAGACCTTGAAAAGGACCCGAGCGTCAGCCCTGCCAAAAGATACACCGCTGGGCCCTGTGTTCAAGGATGTTGAGGTCACAACGCATACAAACAACACCATGAAGGTACCGTGCGTTTCTCCACTTCCTTTGCTTTGGCATTCAGTCAGGTCACGCCCATCTTTCAGTGAGTGGTTCTGGGAGAAAGCGCAGAACTCCAACATCTCCACACCACTTCGAGTTGCTCTGTACTGTGACGAGGTCTTACCAGGCGATGCCCTCAAGGCCACCAATCATAGGAAGATGGTTTGCTGGTATTGGACAATCCTAGAATACGGCCACCATTGTTCTCGCGAAGAACTCTGGACGCATCTCTTGACTCTGAGAACTGTCCACGTCAAGAAGATAGCCGGCGGTTACAGCCAGCTGTTTCGTCGGGTTGTGGAACTCTTCCACACGGCCCCCTTTGATCCCAAACTTGGCGTTTCGTTGCACTTCCATGGTGTTGGGGACAGGTATGTGTTTCTTAGTGTGGGCCAGCTGGTTGCAGATGAGGTCGCACTGCGACAGGCTTGGTCCGTAAAAGGCAGCGCCGGGACGCTGTGCTGCTTATTTTGTCAAAGCGTGTGCAACTACCATGTAGACCTTGACTTCAACTCTCGAGGCGAACTTGTGCCTTCCTACATCAGGAGTCTTCGCGCTGCACGACAACATACTGATGAGTCAGTCAAGGAAGCTGCAGTCATGCTCAACGCGCAGCGCGCAATTCTCAACAAGACTCAGTTTGATGGACTTGAAAAGTCTGTGGGGCTGACGTGGTGTGAAGAAGGGGCTTTGTATGACCCTCAGTTTTGGAACATGGTCAAAGGACCTGTCAGCATGACTTCATTCGATTGGATGCATTGCTACTTTGTCAACGGCAGCTGGTCGAGCGAGGCGGGACTTTTGCTAGATGTTCTGCGGGCTGAGCATGGGCCTGGGGGGCTGGTCCAATACATGGACAATTTCCAATGGCCTCAGAAGGTGAGCTCACGGTCTTTGACGGGGCAGAAGGCTGTTCAGGCTCACAAGTCCGGGCCTCTCTCCTGCTCAGCCAGTGAGGGACTAGCTTTGTATCCGATGATCCGCAGCATGTTGGTGGAACTCTTCCCTTCACCTACTGCAGGATCATCAGATGCAATTGGTTCCTACTTTGCGTTGTGCAAGGTTCTGGATCTTCTTGTTGAATCGAGGTGCCGAGGCGTTTCCCCCTTCGAGTTAAACCAGTCCATCGAGCGGCACCTGGAGATGCGATTGAAGGCTTACTCGCACAAGGCTTTCCACCTTCCGCGTGCGCTTCACAAGAACAAGATCCTTCTGTCCTGCTGGGCTTTGGAGAGGAAGCACTGGGAACTGAAGAAACATGAAAATGCTGCCACTAACGCTAACAAGAAGATTTCATGGGAGCGTGGCCTTTTGCAGGAAGCGGTGCTGACGCAGTTCTTGGAGCTTCAGAACTGGGACCCCAAGGAGGGAGTCATCCTTACCAACCCTCATGAGGCATCAACTGAGTTGCTCAATTTTGTTGTTGGCTTTTTAGGGCTGGCGCCTGCAGACCAGCTTGAAGTGTTGGTTGCCACGTCGGCCCTTTGCGACCATGAGCAAATTGGCAAAGGAGACGTCGTCGTCTCAAAGATGAACTTTGTTGGCGAAGTGTGGTTTCACATGCATGCACGTTCCCAGCAAGTCACCGGCTTTTACACGGTGCTGTCAAAGTGGGAAAGTTTGGGCGGCAATAGGTTCCGAGTTTGCAATGACCCTTCGATTGTCCTCACGACTGAACTCGTGAAGTCTTTGCCTTCCCGAAAGGAATCTGACCTGGCCTTGGTTGCGCCATGAAAAAGAATTGTCAACTAAGACCTTCGCGAGCAAATGCATTCCACGCATGCCCTGCAAACATTCATGCGAGCATTGAATTCCGTGGAATTGCCCTGCGCGTCGGTTGACAAATCGATTCGTTGCCCTGCGCCAGGAACATGGCGAGCAATGAGGCCTATATATGCGGCGTGTGCTTTTGTGCCCAGTGCAGGGCTCCAACCCTGGCTCGCACGGGTGTGTGTGATGGTACAGTATATATAGGAGGTAGAAGGCTTCGTCCGGCTAATATATGTTAACAGGCAGGTTGCTCCCGGTCGTTTCTCTCTCTCTCTCTCTCTCTCCCTCTCTCTCTCTCTTTCTCTCTCTTTCTCTCTCTTTCCCCCCACAGCTGTGCAAAAAGAAGTGATGGTAGTGGCAGCAATCTGGATTTTGCGCAGCTCAGTTCCAACAAAGCTGGACATCGTGAACACAAGATTATTGTACAAAGACATCTCTATACCTTTTAAAAGGGCAAGATTTTCAGAAAGCGTTGAATACGTTTATATGTATGTATCTCTATATAGGTCTTGCATGTATGTGTGAGTATGCGTGGTATCACCCCTCTGAAAACACGACAGCTATAGAAGCAGTAGTTTTTCCTTCCCTCTCCATGCCACAGTGGTGAGAAAAGATCTGGGGGTAGTGGCGGCAACCGGGGTGGCAGCTCGACTGAAGCTATAGACATTACAGCTGCGAGGGCAGCAAACAGTATGCACAGCTCCATCTCAACTGAAGCTGGGTATTGCGCAAATACTTTGGCGCGCGCTTGTTTTCAAACATGTAGATGACATAGACAACGCGTGATACCAGTTTGGCCAGTTTAGTTGACTTAGCGACAACTACCATAACCTAGTTTACAAACAGACCAACCAGGTCCGCGTAAGCTCGCTAAACTGGTCCCTGGCAAGTTGGCTAAATCAGTCTATACATTTGAGCCAACCATGACACAACCGAGCCAACGTCAACCTTAAACTAGCCAACTAGTTACAACCAGGTATGGCCATCCAAGTGGGAACCTTCACTTGGAACCTCGGAACCTCAGGGAACCTCACCGGATGACTGCCCCACAGTGCCCCAGTGCCTAGTTTGGTTGAGAATTCAAGCTTCCGCTGTTGGTGAAGAAAGAAAGAAAGAAAGAAAGACAGCAGGGCGAACGGCGCGCGCTCGTTCGCGTGCTTTGGACGGCGCGCTCTGGCGCGCCCCGAAATACAGCGCGCTCTGCAGAGAGAAAGACAGAGAAAGAGAAACCCAAGAAGAGAGAGAGAGAGAGAAGGAGAAGAGAAGGAGAACAGAAGGAGAAGAGAAGGAGAGAGAGGGAGCTCAGGAAAACGCCGAGGGCATGCTTTGCGTGAGGTTGGGCTGGGCGCGCTTGGCGCACACTCGGTGTTGGCACTTGGAACCTTCGGAAACTTCAATCGGAACCTTTACTTGGAACCTTTTTGGAACTCTTTGGACACTTGACACGGAACCTTCGCTTGGAACCTCAGAACCTTCACTTGGAACCTTTTTCGAACTTTTTAGACGCTTGACACGGAACCTTAACCTCGGAACCTTCGGAGCCTTCACTCGGAACCTTTGCTTGGAACCTCGGAACCCTCACTTGGAACCTTCGGAACCTTCACTTGGAACCTTTACTTGGAACTTTCGGAACCTTCACTTGGAACCTCGGAACCCTCAATTGGAACCTTCGGAACCTTTACTTGGAACCTTTACTTGGAACTCTTCGGACACTTGACATGGAACCTTCGCTTGGAACCTCCGAACCTTCGGAACCTTCACTCGGAACCTTCACTTGGAACCTTTACTCGGAACTTTTTTGACACTTGACACGGAACCTTAACCTTGGAACCTTCGGAGCCTTCACTCGGAACCTTTACTTGGAACCTCGGAACCCTCGCTTGGAACCTTCAGAACCTTCACTCGGAACCTTTATACTTGCAACCTCGGAACCCTCACTTGGAACCTTCGGAACCTTCACTTGGACCCTTAAATTAAACTTGGAATTTTTTGGACACTTGACACGGAACATTTGCTTGGAACCTCGGAACCTTCAGAACCTTCACTTGAAACCTTTACTTGGAACTTTTTAGACACTTGACACGGAACCTTAACCTCGGAACCTTCGGAGCCTTCACTCGGAACCTCTACTTGGAACCTCGGAACCCTCACTTGGAAACTTCGGAACCTTCACTTGGAACCTCGGAACCGTCACTTGGAACCTTCAGAACCTCCACTCGGAACCTTTACTTGGAACCTTTACTTGGAACTCTTAAGACGCTTGACACGGAACCTCGGAACCATCGGAACCTTCACTCGAACCTTCACTTGGAACCTTTACTTGGAACTTTTTAGGCACTTGACACGGCACCTTAACCTCGGAACCTTCGGAGCCTTCACTCGGAACCTTTACTTGGAACCTCGGAACCCTCACTTGGAACCTTTGGAACCTTCACTTGGAACCTTTAATTACTTGCAACCTCGGAACCCTCACTTGGAACCTTCTTCGGAACCTTTACTTGGAACCTTTACTTGGAACTCTTTGGACACTTTGACGCGCGTCCCGGGCACGCGACTCGAACCAAAAGCTTGTTCCACAAGCATGTTCTGCTGGCAACCTGTACCCATTCAAACTTGCAAAGCCTTCACTACCTCCATGCAAACATCCAAGCTCCAGACACTCCAACCACGGAGTCATCCTCCATCCATCCTCCGCCGACGCCACCAGGCATTCTTTGCGCAATCACCACGATGTTGTGAAAAACAGATATGCTCCAAACTCTTTATGGCTTTATGGAAATATTCCCTTGCAGCACTGACTTCAAGTAAGGCTCCAACCACAACCAAGACGTCATCGCTCGACGCAGCTTCAGGCTCAAACTCTTCAATTGCTCCACAGAACACCGTGAACGAACCCCTCGAACGTGCGAGACAGGTGATTTGCCAACAATTCCGAGTAAGCCGATAGTTCAATTCGACTTGTCCCAGACCCATGACCTCTGGATGCAATTGGAAATTTAAGAGACAAGATGTGTAGAAAGAGAGAAGGAGAGGGCGGATGTGAAGGAGTGACAGTGTGGGTGTGCAGGTGCGATATAGACGCGCAGATGTGTGGAGGTGGAGAGGTACATCTGCAGATGTGAGCGTGTCAAGATACTCTCGTGGGACACTCTCTCTCTCTGGGACACTCTTCTGGGACACTCTTGTGGGTCACTCTTGCGGGAAGCTCTTGCGGGGCACTCTTTTGGGAGAAATTTAAACTATCAAGAGAAAAGATGTGTAGAAAGAGAGAAAGAGAGGGCGGATGTGCAGGAGTGACAGTGTGGATGTGCAGGTGCGATATAGATGCGCAGATGTGTGGAGGTGGAGAGGCAGATCTGCAGATGTGAGCGTGTCAAGATACTCTTGTGGGGCACTCTCTCTGGGACACTCTTGTGGGTCACTCTCGGAGGAAGCTCTTGCGGGGCACTCTTTTGGGACACTCCTGATACCACCAATCATCCCGCTCACCAGCGACACACCGCGTTTACGCCAGTATGTTTAGCGCTCCCCAGTGGCACGGCGCCACGCAAACACACTTCCCACCGAGGCCGCGCAAATCCGCACGGCACTGCGACATCACGGACGTAATTCGCCACACGGTCAGCCCACACAGTAGAAGCAATCCTATCACACGATACCGCCAATCATCCCGCTCACAAGCGGCACGCCGCGTTTACGCCAGCGTGTTTCGCGCTCCCCAGTGGCACGGTGTCACGCAAATGCACTTTCCACCAAGGCCACGCAAATCCGCATGGCACTGCGTCACTAACGTCGCGTCGCCCCACGGTCTGCCCACACTACAAGCAAACATGTCACACGATACCGCAAATCATCGCGCTCACCAGCGACACGCCGCGTTTACGCCAGCCTGTTTCGCGCTTTTGAGTGCACGGCGCCACGCAAACACGCTGCCCACCCAGGCCGCGCAAATCCCAATGGCACTGCGACATCACGGACGTAATTCGCCGCACGGTCTGCCCACACAGTAGAAGCAATCCTATCACACGATACCGCCAATCATCCCGCTCACCAGCGACACGCCGCGTTTACGCTAGCATGTTTCGCGCTCCCCACTATCACGGCGCCACGCAAACGCACTTTCCACCAAGGCCGCGCAAATCCCAATGGCACTGCGACATCACCAACGTCGCGTCGCCACACGGTCTGCCCAGACACTAGAAGCAAACAAGTCACATGATACCACAATCATCCCGCTCACCAGCGACATGCCGCGTTTACGCCAGCGTGTTTCGCGCTCCCCAGTGGCACGGCGCAACGCAAACGCACTTTCCACCAAGGCCGCGCCAATCCGCATGGCACTGCGACATCATGGACGTAATTCGCCACACGGTCTGCCCACACGCTAGAAGCTGTCCTATCACACGATACCGCCAATCATCCCGCTCACCACACTTCTGAGTCCAGCTCCAAAAAGCTCTTTCCCGTACTACATTTGTGCTACAAACTGGCCAGGTATGAGTCCAGCTCCAAAAAGCTCTTTCCCGTACTACATCTGCACTACAAGCTCGCCAGGTATGACGAAAAGCTCTTTCCCGTACTACATTTGTACTACAAACTGGCCACTTCTGAGTCCAGCTCCGAAAAGCTCTTTCCCCTACTACATTTTGTACTACAAACTGGCCACTTCTGATATCTCACCTGCCTTTCGCGCCTTCGACGCGCGCGATCTCCGCAGAGGGTTGCGCCGGACAAATCCAACACGCAATCTCACCTGCATTTCACGCCCTCAACACGCACGATCTCCGCAGAGGGCTGCCCGCGACAAATCCAAAACGCCATCTCACCTGCATCTCGCGCCCTCGACACACACAATCTCCGCAGAGGGGTTGCGCCGGACTCTCACCTGCATTTCGCGCCCTCGACATGCACGATCTCCGCAGAGGGTTGCGCCTGACTGAGCCAAAGCGCACTCTCGCCTGCATTTCGCGCCCTCGACACGCACGATCTCCGCAGAGGGTTGCGCCGGACCGGGTCAAATCGCACTCTCGCCTGCACTTCGCGCCCTCAACACGCACGATCTCCGCAGAGGGTTGCCCCCGCCAAATCCAAAACGCACTCTCGCCTGCATTTCGCGCCCTCGACACCGACGATCTCCGCAGAGGGTTGCGCCGGACAGAACCAAATCGCACTCTCGCCTGCATTTCGCGCCCTCGACACGCACGATCTCCGCAGAGGGTTGCGTTTCGTGGTGCTCCGGCGGCACCGCCCCCGGCCTTAAGAGAGAAAGTAAAGAAGAGCGAGAGGTGAAGATGTGAGATGTAGATGTGATGTAGAAGATGAGCAGAGATGTGAAGATGAGCGGAGATGTAGGTGTGCAGATGTGAAGATGAGCAGAGATGTAGATGCGCAGATGTGAACATGAGCAGAGATATAGGTGAGAATGTGGATGTGCAGAGGTGAAGATGTGAAGATGTAGATGATACGTAGTTCTGCAGATGTTTTTTACGAAGAACCCTTCGCAGACGCTCTCGGGAAAAACAAGATGTTCACATGGACACCAACTGCATGTCTCATACCATGACTTCTTCCAAACACCTCCTGTGTGGACGTCGTTCTCCGGAAGCACAACAAGGCGGTTAGAAGACATAAAACATCATTTCTGTATACAAAGGCTAGTAGCGAGCTGAGCAGAGAGAGCGCGCGAAAACATATGCAATGGCTGCTGCGCGTCACCTCATGCTACTTTGTCGCGTTTTTGTTTGGGATAGTCGATTAGAAAATGACAAGCAGAGTGTTTGGTTAACTACATCTAGAGTGAAGAAAACGTTACCTCTGACAGTTGAGCTGAGCCGTCACCGCTTGGCCGCCGGTGAGGGGGTAACAGCTTTGTGTCCTTGGGGCCAACGCACCATTGGTGTATGACAGCAGGGACAATGCGCTAATGCGCCCTGTTGGGGACACACCTAGGGCCAGGTTACATCAGGGACGCGCTCCCTGACCTCAAGCTGCGCCATGTTTGTGAGGCCTGCACGCTACTAGGCGCTCCTGGCCTTACTGCTAGGAGCAAGGACGCTACTAGGGGCTCCAGGCATCGCTACTAGGAGCAAGAGGACGCTACTAGGGGCTCCTCACATCGCTACTAGGAGCAAGGACGCTACTAGGGGCATCGCTACTAGGAGCAAGGACGCTACTGGCTTTACACCATTGAAGACTTTTACCTGTAAACAGTGGAATGTTTCCCGTTTTTGCGAATCGGTCGCCAAGTGTGAAACACGCAGAATGGTAGCAACGTAATATTTTCTTAGCATTTTGGTGACATCGAACAAACTCTGTGCTGGCTTCAGAACTGAATGCGTCACCTGGCGCGGTATGTCGAGGTTCAAGCTTACTATCTGGCCTCTCAACCTGGTCCACTCACCGGCGCACCGGTCTTCTCACTTTGTTTGTTCTGCGAAAGTTGTTTGAGGCGTGGACGCGGCGCTACCCAGATGTCGGTGGCTTGCGACAGGTCAAGAACTTGCAGAAAAAAGGTGTTCCTGCGCGTCAGAGAGACACACATACAGACAGAGACATACAGAGAGAGAGAGAGAGACACATACACACACAGACATAGATAGACACACACACGCACGGAGACCCACACACTGGCTCAACACACTAGACTTAACACTTCACACTGAACACTCAACACGGAACTCACACTCTAACTTCACACGTGGTGAAAAATGCTTTCGGGCCACTCGTCGTCTAGTCTATTTTGTAATTGCGTTTTTGCTTTTGTTTTAATCCCGAGTACCTATTAATAAACACTCCCAATTAAAAAACACAACGTCCGAAGCCCTAAATTCGGTTTATATGTGTGTTTAAATTAGCGCCCTTTCAAACCGCTACTAAACTACCAACATGGTCGATTTTGGGTGTAGTGTTTAAATTAGGTTCCCCCAAAACTCCCTCGTGACACGCCGCGTTTACACCAGCAGGTTTTCCTTCCTCCAATGGCACGGACTCACGCAAACGCACTTGCCACCGAGGTCGTGCAAAACCGCATGGCACAGCAACATCACCTTGTTAGTCTAATGAAGAATCAGTACTCTAATAAAGGTTTTTGTAGGGGAAAAGGAAGACCCTTCGACCTGGATGTTTTTTGAATTTTTGATACGAGTTTAATAGAGGATTTTACATAAAAGTTTTCTGGGTGACTTTTAGGTTTTGAAGCTCTTCCCTGGTGACCCTATTTTGGACCCACCGATTTCAGGGACCCCCTATTAGAACAAATGCGGCCGAGTTTCTCTTATTAGGGGGGGAGCGTGTTTATTAATTGGTGGACCGGATTACTTGGCAACACCATCCGAGTTATGCCAAGTGGTTTTGTCAACAATAATGGCACAACCTGCACAACTACGCTTGCTCAACTGCCCATATCATGTCTGACTATTGCGTTTGTCAGGATTGGTTGTGGGGCCTGAATCAAAACTATTCTTCCATGGTCGTATCCAAACGCAATGCCTCCAATAGGATAGCAGGCCCGTGGCTGATGACATGAAGAACGTCCTGCGCAATAGCGAGCACTGGCCTTCAATGGAGCAATCTCGAGCTGCAATTTGGGAGGCAGGAAGCTTCAATTGCTTTGCTTCGAGCTATCCCCACCTCACCAAGCTGCTTTACTCAGACCACGTCGATCAGCAGCAGCAATGTCGTACAGTCCTGTTTGCTGTTGTCGTTCTTCTGGTTGTTGCTGCAGCTGTTGGCGCAAACGTCGCCGTTGTCATCGTTGTTGTTGTTGCTCATATTCCTGCGGTCGGCGATCGCTGTTCTTTGTATATTGTACTCCTCCTGCTGTTGCTGCTGCTGCCGTCGCTCTCGCAGTGTTAGTGACTTTTGTTGTTGCTGTTGTTGGCGGTGGTCTTGCTGTTGGTCAAGTGTTCACGCAGTAGTGTGAGCGCGCTGGATTGTAGTTCAAAGTGCAAAGTGCTGCCGGGAACGCAGTGATGATGCGGTGTCACCCTTTCAACACACGTTACATTTTTACAGTCCCCTCAGTGTGATCTGACGCGTTGAAAAGGAAAGGTTCACTAATTGTAGAGATGTTCAAGCGCCACAGAGCCTGGATACATCGAGGGTTCCTTTGCATCGGCGCAACACGCAAAGCATGACTTTACGTCTTTTGCCTTTAGTGACTGGTGGTCAATGTTAGAACAAACTCTACCAGCCAACTGTTTTTTCACTATATATACTGTAGCTTTCTAGACTCCACATAGGACAGCTTCAATTCCCATCGCAGTCCCCAGGCAAAGGTTTGGCTTCAGCCCGATCCACCATGGCTCAGGACTTGGCTAGCTGCGCTTGGATATAGACCTAATAAATTGTCTCTGTCTGTCCTGCAGATGTTTTGACACTGCTTCACCGTTCAAGAGAATTTTGATTGATGCTCTAAGACATGAACTGTCTTTCCAAGCCAAAGGGCGCTTCAATCCCGAAAAGTTCAAAGAATCCTTCTCACGGACGCAGGCACTGAAGAAGAAGCACTGACCCCACTTATCACCACTCCTGCAAACACACCAATAGAGTAGCTGGTATTCCCACCCCAGTCACTCCAAGCAGATTGTATTGCATGAGGGACACTGCTTGGCATGGATAAACACATTGAACCCCAAACAAACCGTGTGTAGCAATGAACGCCAACGCACGCATGTGTGGAATCACGTTAACCATAACAAGTCCGCGATTGTGAAGCTCCACCCACCCAGCCCGGAAAGCGCTCCTTCACAAATGGCCCATACTGTAAAAAGCCTGGGTGCGCCCACAAGAAAATTCAAGGTTCCGAGTAGCACCCCCTATCAGCTGCCAGGATAGAAAGGTAAGACATAGTTGAGAGTTGAGACTGGCATGCTTGATACAAAATGGGCACAAGCATCCCAGTCTCCACCTCCCTCCCAACCCGCTCACTACTTTAATCACACGTGACATGAATGTTGTATCCAACAAGTCCACCACCCTCATCCTGCCATGGCACAACCATTCGAAGGTCCCCGACCGCTTTGCGTTTCTCAACAATTTCGCTGGACAACGTGGGTAAGAAAGAGAGCCGCAAAGTCATTCTTGCTGGGCGGCAGGCAGAAACTCACCTGACTGGTCGGGCATCCAACCACACACTGTCCACCAACAACAGGGAAAGTCTCAAGCTTGTACAAAAGAAGAAGGTTCCGGCCACGAACAGATCTACAGTTGCGTTCCAGGATTCATCTCTCCTGTGGCCTATAGGGTCACAGGACCAGTGCCCCGCGTCACGCTCCGTGCGGCGCGTCTGGCTGCAAGCTGCAAAGGCTGCAAGATGGCCGAAGTGGACGACGTGTTTCTCCTTGGCGCAAGACTCTAAGACAAGTACAGTAGTTGGAATAGCTCCTGTAACCACAAGCCTTGCAGGCAGCTGCGATTCTTGTGGTTTTTCCAATGCGACGAGGGAAAATGGTTGAGGTGGCAACATAAGCCAACATACAATCTCTCTCAAGAGCTTCCAACGCTTCTGCCATTTGAGCCTCCGACCAAATCTCCGGGCCAGAAAATTTCTAGCTGTCCACGCATACTTGCACAGAAGGAGGCGGCGCCTATAATAAAAGTCCGCTCTGCCAATCGAAAGGGCAGCCGACTGACTTCGGTGAAAAAGATCACAGGCAAGCCCACTGTGGGCTTGCGTCCCTTGCCAACGCGGCTGAAATGACACGGAAGCTCTCCCACAGGACCGCAAAAGAAAACAGTTGAAAGTCAAAGCAATTCCATGCAATTCCGCAAACCTGAGTCAAACACAGCCCAACATGACTTCACAACAAAACAGCAAGAACCAGCCGGTCCCCAGACCTTGTGAGGTTGACATAGTTCCTGGGCAGGTGTCCAGCGGATCGACCTTCGAAGCTGTGGCTATATTGCATGGCCGGGCCATGGGGCCTTTGGTTCATCACTTGGACACTTGCCTGCCCTGCACTCCAACCAAATGTTTGCACACTGGCGGCGCCGATTTCTCCATGCGTTCGGCGCTTCGGAACACGCGGCGCAATTCAACGCCTCACTCATATTTTGCGTATAGCTGGTTCCGCTCTGCCTTTTCGAGGGTTTGGTGGATCCTCCGCTTGCCGACCTAGATGGGCCGGGTTGCCAGCGGTGCATCATTGTCAATCAACTGCTGTATGTTCGCCCTGTGCAAGAAACGTGCGAGGCTCAATCACCTCACGCTGCCAGCATGGAACATCCAGCACCAGCTCGTCGAACGCCCACTCCCTTGTGAAAACAAGAAAGTCTGCTGCGTCTCGTTCGCTCTGTCTGTTCCAACCTGGACTGACATCGGCCTGATGGATGGTAGGCGCTACGGTGTCGGACAGCTTCTCATAGTTGTCAAGCTTGGCCAGGCTGATCTGGTCAAACATCCGAATGTTAAATCCCGTCCCTTTCACGCGCGTCTTCTTTGGGCCCTGTGCTAAAAGGGGCCCCAGACTGCCATGTCAGTGTGGGGCGCTCGGCCCGAAGTGAACAATGAGTGAAGTGTGGTCAGTTGCTCAGCGCGCGACTCTGCATCATCAGGCGGAAAGCCACCCAACCTTGTCATGATAGACTTTGCCCACGCTCTCTGAAATGCAGATGAACCCAAAATTTCAACTTGATCATGGTCAGCCTGGTTGATGGTGTCCATCTTGACTTTTCGCGTCGCCATCGCTTTTGCAGCTGGAAGAGTCGATGCTGGTGGTGTATGAATCTGCATGTCCTTGCAAAGACTCCTGCCCGAGTTGGGCCCTGGATGGCACAGTGATGCCCGGCCTGCAAGAATGCAAGGTGGCTCAAGTCCGGCAACTTCCAAAAGGGCAAGTATAGTGATTGCGGACCCCTTCGGTGCCCCCCCAAGTCCCCAAGTCTCGGAATTGCATGACGTCACAGATGATATGGCGCTACGCTTGTGCCGTGAGTATTGTCAGGCGCGCAGCCTGTTCATCGCTGGGCGCCCTGGATCTGTACACCCCGCTCGATGTCACTGAGCGACAGCAGCAAGCCCACACGCAGAGCAAAAGGCAGGTGTACAGGCCCAGGCAGCTCAACAAAACAGCGACAAGTCGCCAAGGAAACGACGGCCCCGTATATGGCACAAGATCGAGGAACATGCCAGTGAGAATCAAAGTTGAGTTGAGACCGGCATGTCTGAGCCAAAATTGACCCAAGCATCCCAGTCTCCACATCCCACCCAACACACTCACTACTTTGTTGCAATCACATGAATGGTCTTTCCACAAATAAAAGGCAGGCTCATGCTTTGTACTATGTACTTAGAGTCTAGATTGTATAAACCTGTCGTCGCGCCGTACCTAAAGACTATCATATATCTGCTTGACGGCACATAGGTCTAGAAGACTCCCCTTCAACTGAATCTGCTGTTCAGTGGCACTTTTGAAACACATGCGGCTCAGTCTAGCCAGCCTGCCAATTATGAATAGAAAGCAGTCTTGGTCCCTGCAATCTCGTGGGATTGTCAACAAGTGCATTGACACGAATCCAAGAACTAAAAACTCTATAACCTGGTCTCTCACCTGAAGCTGGAGCTATTAACAAGACTGCCGCGCATCCAGAATCTGTACATTCTGATTGAAACAGGACTTGTACATTCATTGGCATGGCTCGTCTCACGCAGTTCGAAATTCACCGCGAAGCCGACGAGAGCAATCCTCAGGCATCAGTTCCAGATCTTTTGCACAGCCGCAATATGAACTTCTGAACTTGGCAAAGTAGACTTGGGTGTCGATATCAAAAGTCTAGCCTGACTTTTGTTTCATAGAAGCAGCCTCTGGTGTCAAGGGTGTCGCAGGGCTGCTGCACCTCGAAAGTTTGGAGCTGAATTGTGAAAACCGTACGCCGTAGGATGCAAATTCTATGGACAATATTGTTATAGATTCTGATGTTTACACTTCCTTTGAAATTGTTGTGAATCCAACCGCTGTATGTGGAGAAAAACATGAATGATTGTGTCTTATTAGTACTAGCTGTTAGGTCCGACCATTTCGCTCACGCAGCCGTTCCAGCCTATACGGGCCCAAGCGAAACAGCACCATGATCAAATAGCCTGCAACACAGACTTGGGTCTGAGGACCGTGGCAGTAACACCCTGGTGTGCACCATTCTGAAACACAATCCAAGGATGTGGCAGAGACATGCAATCAGCCCAACACAAAGGACCTCGAAGCTGCGCACAAAAACCTATATACTCAGTCACAGACACAGAAACTTCCATCACTATGCAAATCCAATCAAGCTGTATCCGAGCCGGCAAGTTGTACATGGAGCGCCACCAAGTTATTAACACGAGCAAGACACAGCATCTGCAAGTTCCCCACGTTTGTTCCCCGGCAGCAACATTGCAAGTTACAAACCCATCCTACACGCCAAAACGAATAAATGCTGTGGCAAAGTGCTTGAGCCGCAACTACGATGACAGCTCCCCATGAATGGACAATTCAAATTAAAGCTGATGCGAACAAGTTGCTGCCACGACCAAAATGAGCAAGAACTGTTTGCGGCTACATCTCCTTCAAAAAAGACGTGACCACTTTCAACGCTATGAGTCATGAAAAGTTTGTCTCTCTATAGCAGGACAATCGAATGGACCTGCAAAATGTGCTGTGTGGACGACCACACACTCGAGTGGCAAAAGAAACATGTTCGATGGAAAGGCAAAAGTTGATCGTTGAACACCCTAGCTACCGATATCACAACAGGCTTTTGCGTCTTCATATCATGCGCAATATGATTTATGCACTGCAGCTCTCCTGCAGCATCTGAAGCAGCGGCCCTGAGTGAGTGGAGACTTGTCGATTGCACTTGGAAACCTTACAAAGCCACAAATCCTTTAGTGCTACGATTGCCACTACCACTATCACGCCAACTACAACTACCACTACCATTGCTACAACTTCAGCCACCACGGTTTACTACTTACTTACACCAGCTGACATAAACACAAGCACTCGAGCACCACGAGCTGTAGGTGCCACCAGGAATACACGGCTTCACCACTGATAGAAACGCGCCACTTCAATAGAAATACTTCACCACGGCTGAACTGTCTAAACTCTAAACCCTGAAAAACGTTCAATTTCACCCGCGCAACGCAGCATCTCTTGTCACGACGCCCACCACGTCACCAAAACCACACCAGTCTTCCAACTTGCGTCACAGCGCCACGAAGGCTAGATGTCCGGACAAGGTTGGCTGAGCAACAGAAAATAGAGCACAGCAACAGCAACAGGCGTTTACAGCTTACACCGACATAGTCATGATCCAGAAGGTTGAAAATCCTATTGGCACGCTGTAGCAAAGCAGCTATCGTTCTTGAAAGAGCAATCAAAACAGCGCCAACGGTCCAAAGGCAAGCAGCAGAAAGCAGCAATAACAGCCGCAGACCGAAGGGCTGAAGGTGAACAGCTGAAGGTGAACGGGTGAGTGCTGCGATAAGTTCTAAGTAATGTGTGCTTGACTAGTGAGTTGGCCCTATAGTCGTTGTGAGTGGGAGATCTGAATGTTCATGGCCTGGAAGGGCACCGCTTCAATCAAAAGCCAAAATGATGCGGGAGAACTTCTCGACATCGATCTTTACCAAGCCACATATCGATCTTTGCTCTCAGCTTCTGGCCTGCAGCTGAAAAGGAATTGACAAACATGAAACGGTTCTGCCTGCAATATCCTTCAAGTTTCCATGTGTACGATTAGATCGTCTCAGTCACAAAACACAGGGGATGTGTATAATTAACTGGCCACCCAAGCCTCTTTGGGCAGAACATAGCGGGCTCCTCCTCCACCTTTTCCTGTCAATGATCGCACAAACATGATGACATAATGTGCACAAATGTGCTGCTCAAAACATGAGTTGGGTAATGTGGAAAGTCCAAAGCGTCGGCACCTCGTTGACGATTGAAAACCTCTATCCCATCCCTCTGTTCCAATGCAAGACTACAACAACTGGTCATATATCCTTGCATTCGTGAACCACCTCCAAACAATCAGCAGAAGTATCAGCCTCGGAAATCATTGTATTGCACTTGCCAAAAAAAGGATTAGGCTCAGATTTCTTTCGGATGGGCCAGTCCTTGCCTCATGATGGGGTTTCAAGCACTGGTGGCTCACGCCCTTAGAATTTCGCAGCTTCAACTGACGTGAGAGCAACAACATGAGGAGAAAAGTTGAAATGAAGGGGTGTGTCGCACCCTGCATGATGTACACATATACATTGTATAAAAGGCTCTTTTTTCTTCTTCTTCTTCTTCTTCTTCTTCTTCTTCTTCTTCTTCTTCTTCTTCTTCTTCTTCTGCGCTCTTCACTTCACTTCTACGATCGCCTGCCAACTGCAGTCGCGCCTGCGGTCCCTTGCCAGATCTCGTGTTGTTATTAGAGTTTGGCAACAACATTGCATTGAGTTATGGCGAAGCATGGATCTCCCACGCTTACCTGTAAGCGCTTGTTCTAATGTGCCCACAACCGTGTAGTCAAAGATCTTGAAAACAGAACATCTATGAGGAAGTCTGACAGCAAAAGCGGGGTCTGGAGAGAGATTATACAAGCGGGGAGTGAGTCGATGGAATCCAAAAGGGTTGAGTTTGAACCGGGTAAGCGGTCTGGACAGCTGGAATCAACACTGTTTCCCGGTTCGATTCAATGGGTGGCATGATTGTTTGGAACATTTGTCGTGAGAACTAAATCGACCGATCAGGGAGGGCAGAAAGCACCCCCTTTATGCAGCACTGGCTGTACGTGATGGCACGAAACCCAACCTTGAGCAGCCAGATTCTGTTAGATGCAAATTTTCACGTTTATGCACATCATTGATTCCTGCAGTTTTCCGTTGCTTTTTGGACATCATCAATGGAATCACTGGCCTTCTTGGCCACACTTTGAGCGGCATCGCCCAAGCAAACACCATAGCACTGCACGATCGAACCCACAACTTGCCACAACTTGCATGGAGAATAGGGCATAGGGTTTGAATCCAATCCCTGGGATTGGAACCTAATGAGGTTGTTAAAGACAAACCTCTCTGACCCCTTTAAGAGAACCGGTCAAAATTGAGACAGAATCTTGAGCAGAAGTACAGGAAGCCAGAAAATGAGATTAGATTATGGTTCGATTTTTTTACAGAAAATCACTGGAAACAGCAACGGCAATTGTAAAACCCTGGTCTTAAGTCCAAAATCTAAACTTCAAAACAGGCCACTACTCGCGAAACACAATACCGCAAAGAGACAAACGCGCGCTTCTCTCAACACGAAACGCATATCTAGAATGTAGTTCCACCCATCAACTCCTTTACCCTTCCCTCTCTGCATTCAGTGCTGTGGCCCCAGCAGCTCGCTCAAAAAAAGCGCCAACACCAGGAGCAACGGGAGCTCCAAGATCTGGAGGTCCCGAGGCCGTGGAAACAAAGCCCACGTCAGGCAAGTCCTCCAATCTTGCATGAAAGGACAAAACGACGAATGCGAACCCAGCAACACTTAAAGTGGTGGACCGGAGCAATGACTCATGATTGGTTTTTGCGATAGGCTCGAGACAAGCAAGTGCGAAGTGACGGTCGACCCCCTGTGGCCCCTTTTGGCCCTCTCACTCTTCCACCGTGCTTTGTAGCAGCGCTAATTCTCCCTCTGGTTGGTTCAGGAGGGCGGCTCAAGCTACCGCCAGACGCCGCCAGATGGCCGCTATCTCCTTGGAGAGCATTGGCGCCACGAGGCCTCTCCATTTGTGGCAGGTCAGCCGGTCGTCAGCCAAGACACGTTCGCGCAAGCATCGTGACTGCGCGGGTGAATTCAAGGTCGGCCAATCCGCCAATTCTCTGGTCACCTCCAAGCGTGCTTGTTGCGAGCGTTGCTGGGCACTTCACTTCCGGCTTGGCCTTGGTTTCCGTCGTAGGGCTGACCCCCTTCTCCTTCTTTTTCTGGCTCGAACCAAACCCGCCAGCTGTGACTCCGCCGACGAAGCTTTGTGGAAGGGCGTTTCCTCTCGGCGGGTTCTGGTGCCGTATGAGCGTCGCCCTGTTGGTCGCCATGAGCTTGAGGAGGGATGAGAGACTGACTTGTCAAAAGTGTGTACTGAGCCAGAGACGGAGGCCGCCGACTTCTTTGCTGCCAACCGGCATCCCTTTTCGCAATTCAAACACGCAGACCTCCTCGTGAAGAATCTGGGATGATGGCCTTGCTTCAACAACTCTTCCCAAGATGGCCAATAACTGTGAAATTCCTCGATGGCAATAAGAAAAGGGCCCTCCCGATGTGACAAGGTGTCTCACTCGCACACCCACCTTGCTAAGATCAAACTTCCCAGACCCACAGTCAAGTGTCCTGCCAATCCAACCTCCATGAACACACGATAACAAGAAGGCCTACACTCACCGTCCCCAAACCTGAAATAATAATGTCCGTTGAACCTTCACAAAACGACCTTGCTGCTTACAACGTGCTGCTTCCAACACCACCCAACGCATGCCAGCCAGCCAGCCAAAATCGACCAGCTGTCAATTTTCTTTCATTGGAGGGTGCCCGACACGGCACGTGAGCGAGTGGATGGAGTGAGTGAGTGGAGTGAGTGAGTGGAGTGAGTGAGTGGAGTGA